AAAAGAATAAAGAGATCATATTGATCTTATGGAGAGTAATGACTTCACATATTAAGAGTATGTTGAATAAAAGTTGTTGAGGGCTGACAAACATAGTTTTGGTCATTGCTGCAATTAATAGGAGGTAATAAAGAAAGAGAGATTTTCACATATAAATATACTATCTTGGACATCTTTTATGATTGTGAGCACTCATTAATATATGACATGCTAAAGAGTTGACGTTGGACAAGGAAGACAACGTAATGGGTTATGCTTTCTTATATTCGAAATAAAGTATATTGTCATGGATCATCCAACATGTTGAGCTTGCCTTTCCCTCTCATGCTAGCCAAATTCCTTGCACCAAGTAGAGATACTACTTGTGCTTCCAAATATCCTTAAACCCAGTTTTGCCATGAGAGTCCACCATATCTACCTATGAATTGAGCAAGATCCTTCAAGTAAGTTGTCATGTTGCATGAAATAAAAATTGTTTTCTAAATATGTATGACTTATTAGTGTGGAGAAAATAAGCTTTATACGATCTTGTGATATGGAAGCAATAAAAGCGACGGACTGCATAATAAAGGTCCATATCACAAGTGGTAATATAAAGTGACATTCTTTTGCATTAAGCTTTCGTGCATCCAACCATAAAAGCACATGACAACCTCTGCTTCCCTCTGCGAAGGGCCTATCTTTTACTTTTTGTCTTATACATTATGCAAGAGTCATGGTGATCTTCACCTTTCCTTTTTACATTTTATCCTTTGGCAAGCACCTTGTGTTGGAAAGATCCTGATATATATATATATATATATATATATATATATATATATATATATATATATATATATATATGGGAGGCAACGCTATAGCCCCTATCTTTCTCTGTGTCCGATTAAAACTTCATACCCATAAGTATTGCGTGAGTGTTAGCAATTGTGAAAGATTAAATGATAGTTGAGTATGTGGACTTGCTGAAAAGCTCTTATATTAACTCTTTCCTATGTTATGATAAATTTCAATTGCTTCAATGACCGAGATCATAGTTTGTTGGTTCTCAATGAAATTTTTGATTCATACTTGACATTGTGGATAGATTGTTACTTTAGCATAAGAAATCATATGAGAATATATATATATTGATGTTATAAGAATCATCGTGATGCCCTCATGTCCGTATTTTATTTTATCGACACCTCTATCTCTAAACATGTGGACATATTTTTCGATATCGGCTTCCGCTTGAGGACAAGCGAGGTCTAAGCTTGGGGGAGTTGATACGTCCATTTTGCATCATGCTTTTATATCGATATTTATTGCATTATGGATTGTTATTTCACGTTCTGTCACAATACTTATGCCTATTCTCTCTTATTTCACAAGGTTTACATGAAGAGGGAGAATGCCGGCAGCTGGAATTCTGGGCTGGAAAAGGAGCAAATATTAGAGACCTATTCTACACAACTCCAAAAGTCCTGAAACTCCACGAAAGTTATTTTTGGAATTAATAAAAAATACTGGGCGAAGAAAGTACCAGAGGGGGCCCACACCCTGGCCGCGAGGGTGGGGGCACGCCATACCCCCCCTGGGCGCGCCCCCAGCCTCGTGGGCCCCGTGGCAGGCCTTCGGTGACCATCTTCTGCTATATGAAGTCTTTTACCCTGGAAAAAATCATAAGCAAGCTTTCGGGAAGAAACACCGCCGCCATGAGGCGGAACCTTGGCGGAACCAATCTAGGGCTCCGGCGGAGTTGTTCTGCCGGGGAAACTTCTCGCCGGGAGGGGGAAATCATCACCATCGATCCTCTCAGCGGGAGGGAGTCAATCTCCATCAACATCTTCACCAGCATCATCTCCTCTCAAACCCTAGTTCATCTCTTGTATCCAATATTTGTCCCAAAACCTAGGGGTGGGCATAAAAACCGACGAACCGAAAACCGAACCGATGCCGAAACAGAATAAACCGAATTTTCGGTTTTTACTCATGTCACAACAAAATTCGGTTTTCAAGTGCACTAACCGAACAGAAATCGGTTGGTTCACTTTTCTTCTTGGTTAACCGAACAAAGACCAAAGAAACCTGAATCAGCGTAAGAAACGACGCACATGCAGGCGTAGGCGCGCAGCAACGTCTCCCCCTAGTCACGCGCGCATGCACCCATGATCGGCCACCAAGTGCACATACATGGGCCTACCTGACCAAAGTGCATGCAAAGTTGCAAGCCCCATCTCACTGTGTGCTTTGTTGGTGGCCCTTGTGTGCATGCATGCGTACAGCCGACTAGGCATCAGCTCCTTTAGTCCCACATCGCCCAACGGATGGGATGACTCAGATCTGCTGCCTATATAAGAGGGTGCCACTTCTAAAATCATAGCACAAATACTTGGCGTGGTACATCGGTACAAAACTGAAAACCGTACCGAATATTCGGTTAGCTACTTTTAGCTAACATTTTCGGTTTCCAGTTTTACAAACCAAAATTTAATAAACACCGAACGGTAGAAACCGAATTTTCGGTTTATACCGAACGCCCAGCCCTACCAAAACCTCAGATTGGTACATGTGGGTCACTAGTAGTGTTGATTACTCCTTATAGTTGATGCTAGTTGGTTTATTTGGTGGAAGATCATATGTTCAGATCCTATATGCATATTAATACCCCTCTGATTTTGAACATGAATATGATTTATGAGTAGTTACGTTTGTTCCTGAGGACATGGGAGAAGTCTTGCTATAAGTAGTCATGTGAATTTGGTACTCGTTCGATATTTTGATGAGATGTATGTTGTCTCTCCTCTAGTGGTGTTATGCGAATGTCGACTACATGACACTTCACCATTGTTTGGGCCTAGAGGAAGGCATTGAGAAGTAATAAGTAGATGATGGGTTGGTAGAGTGACAGAAGCTTAAACCATAGTTTATGTGTTGCTTTGTAAGGGGCTGATTTGGATCCATATGTTTCATGCTATGGTTAGGTTTACCTTAATACTTTGCGGATGCTTGCAATAGGGGTTGATCATAAGTGGGATGCTTGTCCAAGAAAGGGCAGTACCCAGGCACCGGTCCACCCATATATCAAATTATCAAAGTAACGAACGCAGATCATATGAGCGTGATGAAAACTAGCTTGACGACAATTCTCATGTGTCCTCAGGAGCGCTTTTCTCTATATAAGAATTTGTCTAGGCTTGTCCTTTGCTACAAAAAGGATTGGGCCACCTTGCTGCACCTTATTTACTTTTGTTACTTGTTACCCGTTACGAATTACCTTATCACAAAACTATCTGTTGCCGATAATTTCAGTGCTTGCAGAGAATACCTTACTGAAAACCGCTTGTCATTTCCTTCTGCTCCTCGTTGGGTTCGACACTCTTACTTATCGAAAGGACTACGATAGATCCCCTACACTTGTGGGTCATCAGCGGCGGCCTCGGCTTCCTCTGCTTCGGCTGGGCGACGGTGGGGGCTGTGGGATCTGTCGCGGCGCGGGGAATCATGTACTTCTTCGGCGACATGGCGGGAGGCTTGGAAGAGAGGAGGCGGAGTTTGGCGGGAGGAATGGAGAATGAGAGGGAAGCCGAGGGGGGAAGCGGGAGGAAACGGCGGGAAAAGGGCCTCCTCTCGCCGATAGAGCGGCCCCACGCCACTTTTCGCTTTTGCCGGCGCCCCCAGGCGACACCCGGGCGTTTGGGTTCGGGGCGGGATCGCCAACTCTGGATTTGGCCCAAACCGGCGCTAAACTAGGTCCTGGGGGCGCGACTGGGCTGATTTTCGGCCACCGACGCTAAAAATTTGCCTCGGGAGAGGGGGGGGGGTCTGTTGAGGGCGCGGCTGGAGATGCTCTAACCATCCACGGTTCTCGCTCGGAGATGTTTCGAAGGGAAGGGTGGTACGTTAAAGCAAGTGTTTGGTTGGGTTTTTACTTGTTTTTTTTCAGAACGCTCTAGAGTTGCAACTGTAACGTGGGTCCAGCTTGCGCTCATTGAACGGCTATGCGACGCCCCGATCCAACGGCCCGCGATGCGGTTGATTTTGGGCTCGCGTCGGCCGGACGACGCCTAGCGCCCGCCAAAACCTCCGCTATTCTCGCCGCTCCCACGGAGGCGAAAGGCAGCGGCGGCGGCGGCTGCGGTTCCTGATCGGAGCGGCGGAGCGGCTGAGCAAAAGAGGCAGCGCTGCAGCCTGCAGGTGCATTCCCTCCTCCTCCTCCTCTCTCTCTAGCTCTCTGGCATCCTCTCTCCCTCTTCCCACACTCTGGTTTCGAGGGCTGCTGTGGACGTGAGCGCCGGCGGCGGGGCGCTGTGGAGGCGGGGAATGGAGGCGCCGACGGCGGGGTACGGAGGCGCTGCTTCGGCCCCCTCCCCCCTCTCTCGTTTCTCTGCTAGATCCGACATATCTATATGTTCTGTGTTCTTTTGCTGCTCCTCCTTGTGCCAGATCTGATGCATCCCTCCCTTTCTCTGCAGCTAGCAAGGAGGAGGCACCGAGCCGACGAACAGAAGCAGCAGGACAGTCCCGTTATCCCTCAAAAATCAAAGGTACAACCCTGCTGCGCATGGCAAACGATTTTTGTTGTGCTTTTCTATGGTTTCATTGTGTGCATAAGCGAGCATACATTTGTTTGCGTATGGATAGTGACATGTATTTCTTTTTGTATGGACAGTGAGCATTTTTTATTTTGCTTGGAACAATAAGCATATATTTGAGTGGCTATTTCAAGTTATCTGTACTGTATAGACGCTGATCATGGTGTCTTGTTTTTTTTTTGGTTCAATTTTGCATTGTAGATGGACTGCAAGCAAAAGAAGTTACTTCTCCTTTTGTTCGGCCCAGAAGAAAAATAAAAAGCGAGCGGTGGTTGGCTTCAACCGCCGCCCGAGCAGCCCTTTCGTGCTAACAGGAAACCAATTTCCTGCCCTCGAACATTTTTAGTTTTCTATCCCAAAACCACAAGCCCTAGCTATCAAGGGGATCAAACATCATCACACGGAATTTGAATCGATTTGAATCCGATGGGGTCTTCTAAGGACGATGTGGATCGCCTCTTCGCCTGCTTCAAATGCGGCGTCTCCCCTCCTCGTAAGTTCCCTTTTTCTACAAAAAGGGCTGGTTTCCCCCCCAATATATCTTGATTTATTTGGTCGATTCGACTCGATTGGGATTCAGAGTCGGCATTCAGGGTGAGACCGCGTCAGCAGGGCAAGAAGTTGCGGGTCACGCCTTCGGCGGAAGGCGATGGCGGCGGAAGCAGTTCCTCTTCTGCTTCGACACGGAAAGCTGGGGAAAATGCGAGCGAGGTGACCTTTTTTTAAGTTCGATTTTGTGGTTTAACTACAAGAAACATGAAAGAGAAAGTGAATTCATGCGATTCCTGGTTCATTCCAGCATAGGGAGCCATCATCAGCCGCGATCAAATTCAGAAATCGAAAGCAGATGTCTCCAGTTGTGTTCTACGGTTCTCCACAAGGTGTTCCAGTGAAAAAGCCGATGAGCCTCTTGAGGCTGCTTCGTGAAATCCACATTGACCTCAAGAAGCAAACTGATTTGATCTCCAGGTGTCTAGTTTAGTTGATGTTTCATTCGCGTGTGGCAAATGAGCTCGTTTTGTTCTGAATGCTGTTCTTTTTGTGGGTATGTAGGGATGTTGTTTGGGCTACATTCCCTAGGCAAGATGAGGCAATAAGGTTCTCAAAGGAACATGCACACACCAAAGTCTTCAGTTATCAAGATCACTTGAGCGGGCAAAGAAGATTCCTTGTGTCTACATATGACGAGTTCTGGAGAAGGTTGAGACCTTGTTACATTGTTGACCTTTCCATTCATACATACCTTATAGCTTATATCTATCCATCTCATTCTGCTTGGTTGTTTCATTGTAACCTCCTGTTACTAGGGGGCGAAACAAGTTGGGCCCTCTGAATAAAACTGCATCATCTGTTACTTTGTGCCATATTTGAATTTTTGTCTTGTTTTCCTTAAATGGCCAATTATATTGATAATACCAATCCATTCTGCTCCGTGGTACCGTCTTCTTCCAGGTACAATAATATGGACCCACAGATTCGCCATCACTATGAAGTTATCCAGGAGGCAAGTCTCCATATCTTTGTCCTAAAAATGGTCACAAATTATATGTTATATGGTAGCTTACACAGAAAATTCTGTATATCACCTTAATTTCATGTTCTAGTTCCCTGTTATGATGGGGAGGATGTGCAGAAAGAGTCCGTAAGGACGTAATTATCTCTGGCTTTTATAATTCCTAACTCATAAACTTGGTAAGGAAAAGCAGGTTATGCTTGCCTTAACTTTACTCAAACTGAGTGTTTTTTGTGCATTATTTGCAAGCTGTCTTGCCAGGGGATTAATACTCTCCATAGAGAAAAAAAAATACTACTCCCTCCGTTCATTTTTGTAAGTCCTTTCAGACAGCTCAAAATAGGCTGTTTTGCACATTGTCTGAAATGTCTTCAAGGTCTTATAAAAGTGAACAGAGGGAGTATTATGGTTTAAATTTGATGAATCGGTTTACATACATTAATGCTTGAATTTTACCACAAATGGTCACAACCTAGATATCGACTATAACATCTCTACTGATGCTACAGGGTTCACCTTGCCACATTTACTTTGATCTCGAGTTTAACGCAAAACTGAACCAGAAGAGAGATGCAGATGAAATGGTTGATACATTGGTTGCTGTCACATTCAGTGCCTTGCAGGACAAATATTCCATCGAAGGACAAGAAGAATGGATCATAGAATTAGACTCATCTAATGAAGGTGGCCCAGTTTGTTCTCCTTTGCATCTATTTTAACCCTGGAAAATTGCTTTCTATAAGAATGGTGGAATCACCCTACGATGAATACGATTAGCTTGTGCATGTTCTGGTTGACTGGTGGCTATGCGATTCTGTAACTTTTAACTTAATGTGAGGATTATTCTTGCATAATTATTGAGTAGATGTGTACACTAGGCATGTTTGGAAATCATATAACTAAATTGTATGGTACCACTTCTTAGTAATGCTGAACTGAGGCATCATGGCTCTCAGCCTAATCATGTTGTGATGCACCTGGATTCTTCTCTCAAGGTGCAGGGCTTCTCCACAGAGAAATTTGAGAATTTAACATTCAGAGTACAAGAAAGAAGAAAACAGTACTATTACTAAGTAATTTGTCTAGGACAGGGCGAGCACAAGTTATAGTCACGGTTCTAGAACAGTTGTAGTAAAATAAGTTGCAGATTTATATATTATCAGAGTGGATATGGTTAAAGCATTAGTTTGTTTTCATGCACTTAATGTATGCCTTTTCCACCACAAACAAGTTATTCTACAAGCAAGGAGTTACGAGAAGTAGAACAGCGTGAAAGCAGATTGAAGTTGTCACTTATTGATTATTATTCAAATATGTTTGCACCAAAGATTTCCATATATTTTTTAGTTTTCTTTGTTATAGACCATACTCTTGTCATGGTGAACTTCTATGCTGCTTAATGGTACTCACATGAAAACTATTGTTGTTTGCTTAGAAAAGTTTTCGCGCCATTTGATCATTCGTATACCAAAGACTGCATTCAAGGATAACTCCCATGTTGGTGCATTTACCTCTGAGGTATTATTCAATCTCAATCTTTAGTTTTGCTGCTTTCTGTAAATTTATAAATTTCAGTTGCTGAATACCTTGTTATGCAGGTTATATTTATCTTTGTCAATTGCTACACAGTTTGCTGTACTGATTATATTCAACCAAACAACAATTCTAAATTTATCATTTTAGCAATGTTCTAAGCAATACATGGTGGAAGTACATATGTGAAACGTCTGTTTAATGTGTATTGTATTAGCAGCGAGCCACCAATAGAGCAAGCACAACATAGGACATAGTACTCGAAGTATACTTGGTAACTTATTTAATCAAAATCTCTTCTGTATTGAGGAAAAATTACAGTCCTTTCATTCTTCCAGTAAGGGATTGAAAACCCCTTGATAAACGGGTTCTATGTTATCTTCTAGAAAACATGGCTATCACTGTTCAACAAGATAATTAAATAGTTGGATAGTGTGGTTTCTGTTTCCTTTTTTTGGGGTGGGGTGGGGTGGGGTGGGGGCGGGTATTCTAGAATATTTTTGTTGTGGGAAAATAAAATGCTTATACTACGGTTCCAACCTAGTCATACATGGCATCTGCATAGGCGGTCAACACAAGTCAAGACAGTCAACAAAAGTCCGAGCAAGCTATCATGGGCCTAAGCAGGCCATCATGGTCAACAAGTCAAAGGAAGAGGGACAAATAAAAGAACAAGTCAAAGATTAAGACATAGAAGCAAAGAGCTCATTTGCCACATTTCAGCTAGTCAATTCACTTTCTGTTTTCTTTTGTAATGAAAATATATCACTGATGTTAGAAAAACAAAAACAAAGAACTTCGAATTTAAATGGAGACTATATGTTTTCCAATATATGCTTAAGAATTTTTTTTTTGGCAATGGGGTTTATGTTCAGAGAAATAGATTTTTTCGCATCCTTTGGGGTTCAAGGGTAGAGTTTGATTGTGTTGCATGTTCTATAACCTTGATAAACTGTATTGCTTCCTGTGGCTTCCAGAATGAAATATTATTCTTCTCCACAGATCTGCTCTCTGATTGCCGCTCAACGTGCAGCCAATCCCAACCTTGATAAGCTGTATATTACAAAAGATAGCAGCGGCGCAGAACCTGTTGATCAGCTCTTCGTGGATACTGCTGTATACTCTCGTAATCGTTGCTTCCGTTTAGCCTTCTCATCAAAGTCTGGGAAAAAATCATTTCTTGTGGCTACTGGACGTTTCAAATGTAAGAACATGGTAAGCAGCTCTTGACCACAGGCTCGTTTTTATGCTAGACAAAAGATATGGCTTTAATGGATGACTTAATTGCAAAAAACCACCACAATTGTGGCTACTGAGTAAAAAAAAGCACCACCTTTTTTTTGCAAAAATCAACCAGTATCCAATAGTCTGTTTACAGAAAACACGAATCACACGATTAAGCACCGATTGACGCTGAATCTGACCGGTGGGTGGGTCCTGCTATAAGTGAGATGTGGCAACC